TTGGAGATTGCGGCGGCGATTAACTTGGGTCTTGAGAAGCTGAATGAAGGGCCTGATGCTCCGGGTCATCCTGGTCTCCCTATCTCTTTGGAATGAGAAATGTAGTGTATGAATAGCTACTAGGGTATAAATCTGGTTTCATGTATATAGCTCGGGGGCTGCGTTGTGTAAATACAAAATGTAGAGAAGAAGGCTGGTGTAGAGTGTAAGCTTTGTATGAAATGTTCATCAATCATTTATCCATACGAACATTACCACTACTCGTTATTAAGCACTGTTCCTCATACAAGCGCATTACCAATCTTCTCTATCCACCAGCAACCCCTCACCTCTTCGTTAACAAAAACCTCACCTCGCTTTAAGCACACTATCCAGCACCCCAACCCTCTTAACCCAACTCCTCGCCCTCTTCCCATAAATATACATAGGAATCGTAAACAGCGTCACCGCCACCGTCGTACCACCAATCACATAGAATGTATCTCTTACCCCCTGCGTAGCAATCCAGTCGTTGGCGTAGAACGTCAATCCAAACGCGAAAAGGTTCTTGATGAAATTCATGATGGCGAAGGCCTCGGCCGACTCCTCGCGGTGGCAGTCCGAGACGTAGGTTACTACGGCTGTGGTACCGAGTTGTACGCCGAGGTTGATGAGGCCCATGCAGACGATGACGGGGACGGGCCATGGCTCCTCTTTGTAGAGGGCTTCGCCCCAGGCGAAGAAGCCGACGGCGGTGAAGGCGAGGTATGTCACCATGACTGGAAGTCTGAACTCGGGTTCTGTGATTTCCATCAGCTACCACCAAACCTTTTTTCTTTGTATTGACAAGATACATACCGAAAATACCGTTGTTATGCTTAGACATGAGTTTCGCCACGCCATCGATGATGGGGCCCGCTATCAATGTGGCCAAGACCGAGGCTACGAATGAAGACATGTTTGTAGCGCCGACTGCACTGACGGAGAAGTTATATGGCGGTGCTGAGAAAATCTGCGATAGCGTTATGGAGATTAGGACGAGCCAGGATATACAGATTGTAAATAACAGCGTCGCCCACATGACCACTGGGCTGGCTATCATGACAAAAGGGCGAATGAACGTGCGCCAGAACGATACATCGTCCTTGTAACCAGACCAAAACTGAAGCGTTTTCTTGTACGAATCGCGGGGTTCCGATGAGGGAGATGACTGGCGTGCACTGTCTTCGATGCGTTCGACGGGCTTGTCTTTGTGCTTCTCGGAGATATCGAGAGTGTGGACGCTAGTATCGATATTCATGGCGTTATTGCGGTGATATGCTGTTTCGGGCATGAAGAAGAAGACGAGAAGGAACATGATGATGAAGGCGCCGCCCATTGCGTACATGGCAATACGGTAGGAACCATATTGGATAATGGATCCGGCTAATTTAGTCAGTATTGTAATGCCTTTTTTTTCGAGAATTCGTTCATACCTATGGGACTAGCCAAGTTCTGAGTATAGTGTTAGTTGGGTCATATTTCTAGCTGTTTTGCAGGCAACTCACAATTCCGCCCAGGACTCCCAAATTGAAAATCGCCATTCTAAATCCGCGCTCATGTACGTGCCACAGGTCGCCAACTGAAGACGGGATAAGCGCTTCGAAAGGAGCTGTTCTTGTAAGAAGACGATATGGCAAGAGAAATGTCAACTCATCTTACCCATACAAAACCCCTGAATAGCTCTCGCAGCAGTGAGCGAAGCGAAGCTCGAAGACCCCGCGACCCAGAAGCTCGAAGCTGCCAACCCCAGTGTAGTCACGAGATAAATCGGTCTCTTTCCTATCTTGACGGCCAGTGTATTGCAGAGAAGACTGCCGCCGGCAATGGCTACGATGCAGGATCCGTTTGCACCTAGTCGAGCACCAGTCAGAGCAATGCTTTTGCGCTAGGTGGATTTCGTATTACCAAGGGTAAATCGTTGCAACGGCACGTCAAATTGCTTTGCCAAAGGTACGAAGGCGGATGTTAATAGCGGTCCGACAGCTAATCCCCCATTCAGCCTCGTAAAGTCAAAGTGAGTAGTCAATCTCTTACCTCCTACACACCCACATCCGTAGGCAATGACAACTGTAAACTACTCCTCGTCAGCTTCTCCACAGCATCCTTCATATTCAACACTCAACTCACCATCTCCTTCTGCCATCGCGGCCAATTATACGGATCATTCGGTGAATCTGAGGGCTGGGGGATAAGCACAACCGTCCCCGTCGCATCATGCTTGAGCAGCGAAACATCGATTCCCGATGTAGTCTCAAGATCGAGGCGTCCCAATTCACTCAACGGCGCCGTCCCCGGCACCTTTTCGAGCTTATAGTCTTGAAGTATACCCAGCGGCATGATTTCTTAATTTGTCTACAAAAAAAGGGAACAAAAATGGTTGGAGGAAATGTAAAGACGCAGATTCCTTATTAAAGCCACGGGCATTTATCGATTGGTGGTGGTTATCCGGGGATAATACTCAACACCAGCTGCTGAAATATGTAGCCATAGAATGGATGTGGGGTAAGTAGCACTCTTCACGCGGCAGTTGGCCGCAAGACCAGGGTGCGGTGAAAAAGAAGCGTGCGGGGGTTGCGGGTGCGGGGAACTTTGGAAGTTACAGTTGCACTTATTGAGCGACTATGGGGTAGTACAAGCAGGTGATGCGGCAGCTACGTAGGAACAAAAGTGGGTATCGGTAAGACATTGCCGATGGATCTACATGCATGAAGGGGCTTGGATTGGTATAGTCGTGTTGCATGTGTGCAGCGATGGGGTCCGCTTAAGTGACATTGCCGCTTTGCCCGGTTGTTGAATTGCCTGGGGGGGTGTTACGAGGAGCGGGAGAGTTGTTTGGGTTTGTGCTGTATGCGAATAAGCAAATGGGGAATATATGATTTAAGAGATGTTTGCTAGACATAAGCACAAAAAGGTTATTTCAAATAGAGTTGCACAGCAGTCACGGCAGACTCTTACTTCGTTTCTTGCTCACAGACAAGGGTTATACTACCAAAAGCCACCATATACTTCGGACCGGGTAACGGACCCAGCCCCACATGTAGCCACACGAAATCAAGGTCTCGTTTACTGTTTCGAGGAGACACCGTATATGCGCTCCAGCTGAGAGCAAACTGCTTCCGTGACCTCATTCGTCGAGGAGCTGCCTCCGAGATCACGAGTCGCAACGCCTCGCTCGGTAACTGACTCCACACTCTCCATAAGCTTCTGAGCCGCTTGCTCCTCGCCCAGCCATACTAGCATCTCGGATGCAGTCCAGAACGTGCCTACTGGGTTTGCGATGCCCTTACCCGTGATGTCGAATGCTGAGCCGTGGATTGGCTCGAACATGGATGGGTTTTGGCGTGTAGGATCAACTGTTTTCCTTTAGTATCACTGCAAGGATGAATAGGATAGAAGACGCTCACGATTACTGGTCGGTGCAATACCAATCGAGCCAGCCAGGGCGGCTGCAAGGTCTGAAAGGATATCCGCATGCTGTACGCGTCAGTAACTGACCTGTTCCTGAAGTAACATATCTCTACTCACCAAGTTCGTTGCCACAATTGTATCCAGCGACTTCGGATCCAGCACCATCCTGCACGTCATAGCATCAACAAGCATCTTATCACACTTGACGTCTGGAAACTCTTTCGCAACCTCCGCAGCAACCTCATCCCACATGACCATCCCATTGCGCTGTGCATTGCTCTTCGTAACAACAGTGATGTGCTTCCTCGGTCGCTTCCGTGCAGTCTCAAACGCGAAACGCAGCAAACGCTCTACGCCGTGTCGCGTAAAGATGGAGACTTCGGTGGCGATTTCCCAAGGCTGGCCTTTATGCGATCGGCCTCCTTGACCTGCGTATTCTCCTTCAGAGTTCTCACGTACAATGACCCAGTCGAGGTCGCCGTGCTCTGCTTTTCGCAGGGGAGATGAAGTGCCACGGAAGATTTTGGTTGGTCGGACGTTGGCGTATTGCTGGAAGGTTTGGCAGATGGCGAGGCGGAGACCCCATAGAGAAATGTGATCTGGGACGTCTGCCGTCGATTAGCAAGTTGGGTGCTTGCACTCTTGGATCTTCTACGCACCTGGAGCGCCAACAGCACCGAAGAGAATTGCGTCGTGCTTCTTGAGTTCTTCTAGGCCCCCGTCGGGTATGTACTTTCCCGTCTTTTTGTACGTTTCTGAGCTCCAGTCGTAGTCTTTGAATTGCAACTGGAATGATCCATCTAGCTGTGCGAGTTTCTTCAAGACTTGTACACCAGCGTTGACGACCTCCGGACCAATGCCATCGGCGCCTATTGTGGCAATGTTGTGTGTGCGTGTAGTTGTGCTTGGAGACATGATGTAGGTTGCACTGTTGTTGCTTTATGATGAGATCTTAACAATTAAGCACCAGGTTTCTCGTCACCCAACCCAACTTTACACAAGTATTCATATAGCATGGGTTACGGACTAAGAATTACCACTGCCAGTCAGTCTCATGTGCTTGGACAGGTTTGGTCGCAACGCTTGCCACTGGTGTTCTCCAGTCCCGAAAATGCGGGGAAGTACCGGAGAAACAAAGTCCGGCACATGTGCCGAGCACGACGTTGCTGTTCGTTTCGTTCTTTGCATTCAACAATTCGTTGTTACTGCGAAAAGTCCCAATGTTGCTCTTGGTCGAACCAGAATGGTATATCAAAGCCAGAAAAGGGATCTAAGCCGTTTGGATTACTGAATGCCATACCTCCAGTCTCTTCCATTGTCATGTACGTATTCCAGTAACTATCGTCAATACCAAAAGTAGGCTCTACTCCTGCCGACCCAGCCAAAAGTTCGGAGTCTGGGTTAGTGGTGCGCTCCTGGTTTTCCGCTGTTCCATGTGAGCTTTTGCCCGGATGTATCGGGTCGTGTTGAATATAAGTTGTTTGGAAAGCGTTGAATGATGCACCAGTGACTCTATCTTCGCCTGCGTCATTACTTGGAGCAACTATACTAGCATCTTGAGTTGTTTGGTAAGACATGCGAGCACGTAAGTCGCGTATTGCGGCAGAGCTCGCCTCCGGCCATGCGCTTCCACGCCGAGAAAGATGCTCAAGTATTTGCAAGCTTTTCTCCGACAGCCTTTGCTTGCAGATTAGCAGAAGAATCCGAGTAAAATTTCAAGAGTTAATACCGTGTAACAAGAGCCTCAGCGATATGCTTCCCGTTCGCCGCATAGAAGAGGATAAATGTGCTGATCCACACCGCCCAGGTGCAAGAAGGCCATAGTAATGACAGAGATCGTGACGATGCTTCGACTCGACCAGATTCGGGCTTCATAGCATTGTAGAGGGTGGAAATGATACTACGGGCAGATCCAATGCATTTTTGAAGTGCCACGTCATATTCTACATCTTTACGCGATGCTGCTAAAGCAGGACGGTAGAATGAAATGACTGATTCATGCTTAAGCAGCGTTAGAACCATAGTAGCATACTGAGAAGCTCTATGGGGCCCATCTGGGTCGATGTAGTCCTCTACGTCATTCCACCATTGGCTGAGTTTTGCAGTGATCGCGGTCGCTCGAGTTGGGTCGTTCTGAACAAAGTGTACCGATTTGTTGCGAAGTTCTATAATCTCGCCGCGAATTCTGGCTTGCTGAGCGAGAAGGTGAAGTAGGTGTAGCTGGTTTTCTTTGCATGGTTAGGTCAGAGTTTATCTAGAGACGGTGGAACCTACTGTGTTCCGACTGGGCTTCTACGTGATGTTCCGTGAGCGGAAAGCATACATCAATGTCGTAATCATGAAGACTCAGCGGGAGGCCCATAGATTGGCTGAGAAAGCGGTCCATGGCATAGATTGACCAGAAAACGCGTTGTCGAAGCTCTCTTTCATCTGGAGAAAATGCCGAAAAGCGAGCTGGGCAACGATGAAGGCCTAGTTGCACAGCCATACGTGTGATGAGTCCACCCACACGGGAAGCAGCATTCAGACGAAGCATGGACACAAGGAATATTTGTACACTCAAAGCTGCTTGCAATGCGAGTATGGTCGTAGGGCGTGATAGTATGGCCTGGAGACTGTCTAGAGCAGACTCATACGTGAGGAAGACGAGACAGGCAGGATACTGCCTACAATCATATCCATTTGATTGTCTGTGATCTGCGAGAGAGGTGGAATGGATTGCTCGAAGTACCACCATGCGAAGATCTCCGAGAGAATTGTCTCGTGGAATACCTCTACGTGCGAACTCGTCAAAATACCCTAGGACAGTCGGTGCGTGCAGGAATGGGTGGAACGGGTGCCAATTTGCAAAATAGCTCGCCGAGAAAGCGAACATCTCCTGAAACGATATTTGAGTAGGTGTATCGAGAATGATCTCAGTTTCCTTCCATAATCGCTCAGATGAATTGGGTTTTACCAACGGTAGATGGTCATCTTCGCCTGGTACTATATCACTTATGGGTGTTTGCACCACGTCAGAATTTACTGGCCGAGAATGATTGATAGCACCGTAGACTGATCTGATGAAGAATATTCCACTGGCACTGCCGACAAAGCCTGTTAATCTGTCCGTGGGGTTTCGCATCAAGCCGACTTCACGCGCCAGTTGCGCTGAAGTCCGCTGTCGTTTTGCGGGCCTCTCATCCTTTGCAGATCTTTCGGGCAATAAGTGCTCGTCATGCATATGCTCCATGGTAGCCACTGTCATGCGTGGTTTATTAGTGAGGAGATTGGTGGGTGTCAAAGGCAGGATTCTCGAACCAGGAAACCCCGCTTTGTCACATGACTCGATTTTAACCATCTCTAACGAACAGATTGATTCAGGCAATGCCCGTCTCCTACGAAGCGGTCTTCGGTCACTAGAAGTAATTTTCTATCCATTGCCTAGAATCCGGGGAGCCATCCAAAGCATTTGGGACTATTGGCTGATTGCAAGTCTCGAGCTGCTCCAGAACCGCTCTTGGTGGTGCTGCAGCATGGATTTCGAGCTCATGTGTTGATTCATTGCACTCTGTTCGAGATGCTGTTGTTGCTGCCAGACCCTCATCCTCTTGGGCTTGAAGCCACGCCATCAATTGATCGCGTGTCTGCAGCGGCAAATGCTTCCAATCTTCCATTTTCTCTGCCTTTGAGCGTTGTCGTAGTGGCGAATTGGAGCCTGCGCTGTTTAAGTGAGCATCTATGTTATGTTCGGCGGCTGAGTTCCGAGTGGCGATGAGGGTGGCAGAGAGTGCGGTTTCCGTTGCTGCCAGTCGCTCCTCAAGAGCTTTGATGTAAGCAGCAGGTAGGCCGCGTTTTCCACCTTCCTGGTAATGACATGCGGTCGAAGCAGATTGACATTGAGAGCATGATGGACTGTTACAGTTAGCTTTTGTACATTAAGTCTCGTGTGGGAGGTGGCAACATTCTACGGTCGCATTTGCATTTTTTCAACCTGCAAGCTTCGCAAGCGATTGCGTGGAATCGCTCCTGGAGAGGTGCAGTCAGTAGGCCACCCTCTCTAACACGTGCGGAATCTTTTGGCATCATTTTTGAATAGTGATGTTGTCAAGTTGGTGGAACAATTGGTGTTATACGTTTCCATTGTGTACAAACATGAATGGGTTCTCAGTCCCAGAAGTACTTAGCCGGACACTACAAAGTAAGCGCGACCGCCAGCTACCGTTTAAGTTCGCCATCTTCAACGCAAATGCTTCGGTCAACAAACGTCTCAATGCCTGCTAAGACGAACAAATGTTACTCAGGAAATATACCATTGGAACAGACGGATCGTGGAATTGTCACGGCGGAGCTCACATAGTGGGATACCGCAGACCTTGTGGACGTGCCAAAAGCTTTTAGTTAGTCATTGCAACCATTTGTGATATCGTAGCATGAAGCAAGTGTCACCTAGGAAACAAAAAAACTTCGCATGTCACTACTCCCTCTTGACCATTGATCAAGAAATCCATTGTCAATCTATCAACCATTACCTCGTCACAGCATCAATCTTCTCCAACCTGGACGATGAAATCTCGCAACACTCTGTGCTATCTATCGAAGAATTTTGGCGAGTTCAAACGACACGCTCACGTTTGGGCGCTTCAAACTTTTGATAGTCATTCTCAATCAACCGGTAAGTACTCCCATAGTCACGCCACTGCATCTGAAATGCAATCAAGAGTACTGGCAATACGCTAATGAACTCACCCAACCCAGCCCATTGCGGCTTGATTCTGATCTCACGGCCTATTTGGGCAAAAACACCAGCCGCAAGCGCGATTGCGACAGTGTTGTATAAGCCGGACCAGGTGAAGTTGGCGACAATGCGTCGGTATGCAGCACTGGAAATGTCCAGCAATATCAGGATGTCATGTAGACGAGTGGTCATTAGAATGATATCCGCAGCACTTTTGGCAACGTCAGATCCCTGGCTGATGTGTACGCCAATATCGGCCTGCTTGAGTGCAGCAGAGTCGTTTGTGCCATCGCCTATAAACATGACAGTTTTTCCCGATTCCTGAAGGTCTTTGACGTATGTGCACTTCCCATCGGGTCTGCAGCGCGACTTGATGTTGTCTTTGTGAATACGGAGTGCACTAGCAGCGTCACCCACTGCACTCTCGGTGTCGCCGCTGACTATATGTACTTGAATACCTCGAGCATGAAGCTTGTCAATGACCATCTCCGCTCCAGGACGAGTGCGATCCTTAAGCTCAAAACTAGCTTGAAGGTCTCCCGCAATGGTAAAGTAGCACCTCGTGTTTGATTCTTGCTCAATTACGCTGATCTTCAGCCAGTCGGCGTTTCCGGCGCAGACCACGGCTCCAGTTTTGGCGCAAGTGCCTTGGACCCCTTGCCCAGGAAGGCTGACAATGTTGTTGACCTCCAGAATTTCGTAGTATCTGTTGGCGATCCTGTCTTGCGTGAGGTAATGTACGATTCCAACGGCTATTGGGTGCTTGATGTCTTTCAATAGTCCCATCATTAGTCCTTTAACGCGTGCTCTGTCAGTGTTGCAGTATCGTGGAATACCCACAACGTCCAATTTCCCACAAGTAAGCGTTCCAGTCTTGTCGAATATCACATGTGTCACTTTGCGTGTGATTTCTAGTTTCTGAGGGTCTCTGAGAATGATACCATACCGTGCTGCCACGCCACTTGCAATGAGGATAACTGTAGGGACAGCTAGGCCAATAGCACATGGGCAGGATACAACAAGAGTGGCTATGGCGTAAGTAATCGCTGTAAGTACTGCGCTCTTCCACGTGTGGTTGCTATAATACCTGTCGATGAACAACCAGGAGAGGAAGACTGCCAGACCGATTAGAGCTATTGCAGGCACAAAACACTCAGCTACGCGATCCGCAAGGGCTTGCGTTTTCGGTTTGCTCAGCTCAGCATCTTCAACTAGAGTCGCAATCTTTTGTATAGAGTTCTCATGAGGTAACTTCCTCAGGATAACGACAAGGGAACCGTCTTGGTTGGTCGTGCCAGCAAAGACTTCGGAGGATAAGCCTTTCGCTTTGGGCTTGAACTCCCCAGTAATCATCGATTCATCAACATTGGAGCCTCCGTAAATAACAACTCCGTCTGTTACGACCCTGGTATAAGGAGGAACAATGAAAACATCGCCGTACTGTAAAAGGCGAGAATCAATCCGAGTGGTCTTCACATTGGCCCAAATGTCATTGGCGGATGGCAGCACCAGAAGCGCTTCTTCGACCTGAAGTGACCGAAAAGAGACGGATTTGGTAGCTCGGAAACGCGCCAACTCATTGATTACGCGACCCAGCAAGATCAATGTGACCAAGAGAGTTGATGTCTCAAAGAAAGATCCTGTTTCCAAAGTCTCTCCACGAATTTGAAAAATGTACGAGGCTAGGCTGAAACCGTACGCCATGGTAGTACTGAAGGCAATCAAGAAGTCCATCTCCAAAATGTGGGAGTGATAGAGCGATCGTAAAGCGCCTGGAACGAACTCTCCGAAAGCGATAAGCTGAACTAGTGTTGCAAGAACCAAGGATGCATGGAGAAAAGCCGAATGATCGTGGTCGATGGGCGCCCAGGCAAATACAAGCACAGGTATTGTCAAGGCTAAAGTAGGAAGAAACCATAGCAAAGCTCGGGTTGTAGACCTGGCTCCAAGCTCAATTCCGGGGTCTATGGTCAGAGGCGCCAAGCAAATGTCTGGATCGTACTGCTGATAATGCTCAAACACGGTGCGGGCGCCTATCTTGATCGGATCGTAGTATATCTTCGTTGGACATATTCTAACACTCGAAATTTCTTGGGTGGAGTTCTTCGTACTATTGTTCACGCCGTTGTTTTGGACCGGACCGCTTTTTGATGTGTCGGTCAAGGTCGTCGTCTTATCACGTCGACGTAATCTGCGTAGAGGTCGCCAGGGAGCTCGCTCAGGTGCTTCGATACGGATGACACCTTTGGGCTGACCAGCGTGCTCCAGGCGCCGAGGGTCGGTGATGATGATCTCTAATGCCTGTCCATTGAATGCAACGTGCTCCTCAAAGCTATATCCTGTTTTTGTAGTCAGAAGCTCAATGACATCATCGACACAGAGGATGTTCACATCCAAGTCAAATTCCACTCTAGCCAAAACCGTGTTCACTTGATAGTTTTGGATAGCCGCAATGTGATCAAGGGCGCGTGAAAGTCCTCCTTCACAGCAACCACACTTGAGGCCATTGATTCGGAGGATGACACGCTTGAATTCGGGGGGACCTTTTTCGGCGTCCCTATAGTTGTTGCAGGTGGCTGTAGAATCTAAGTCTTTTAGTGAATATTCCTTGACCTATGCGACCACAAGCAACAAGTGCCAGGTAAAGGATAGTTACAATGTAAATCCGTAGTCTCGCAGTCTCCCTCCAGCCCACATTGACCACCACTACTGATCCCAGGCACCGTTGCTGGAGATGCTTTGTGGCGGCTAATGAGACAACAATTCGAGAACACAGTGAACGGACGATGATGACCTGTGCTATTCTGGCATGGTCCGGGCTGTGAGCCTGGGGCTGCGATTTCTTTAGGAATTTGTACATGAGAGTGCGATGATGTTCGACGTTGAGGTATCGGCTCCAGATTTTCTTGAGCAAGCGGTAGACTTGGAGCCTTTTCGGGTAGTTCGAGATGCAAGTTGTATTTCGTAGTGCGTTGGTTTTCTGCCTCTGACATTTCTGAAGCTAGTTCTGGTGTTGAGGGAAATAAATCGGGCAGGCTTTGATGTGATACTTTACGGGATGTCTGTTCAATCGGAGTTCCGTCAAGACCGATATCAGTGGTATTGGGCGTATGAGAGGCCGAAGAGGAGTGTCGATGCTGCCCAGATGTAGGTTCGGCAGGCTGAGCATATGGATTTCTCACCGGATAGGTCGCTGCGTAGGGGTTTGGTGTACCGGGCGATACACGCCTGCTTTCGCCAGAGGCAAGTCGTAGAATATGTGTATGGTGTGTGCCGTCCTCAGGAGAGAGCATGCGCATTTCCATTGTGATAATTGTGTATCGCGGTAGAAATGGAAAATGATGTGGATGCTGATGCTTTGAGCGGAGAGCGGAGAGGGCGCGGATAGTTGATCTTGGGTCCACAGAAGCTTAAATCACCAACAATCGGGAATGGCAATAGGTAAGGCACGCTCGAGCGAGGCTGCAGGAGCGCCTGCCACATTCATGGGATTCATCCCGGTGATGCTGTGGCATTGTGTCGCACCTACTAACAGGGACATAAGCATTGAAGCATCGGTATACATTTCCGATTGGCGTCAAAAGGCATTTTTGAAAGTAATAGGTTTTCCTGTTGTGAACAGAGCAAACAGGTACGACTACCTACCCGTGCTACGACAAAAATCAGACGTCCAGGGAGTAAGTAGCACCTGTGTCCCGGAAGAAGGGCTTGCTGTAGGTGCATGCCAGACAACGATGTTCATGACGCCCTTTCAGTTGCTTCTTAGCTAGCAAAATTCACTTGAAAGTGGTGTAGGTATGGGTAAGGGATGAGGGTGAAGGACAGCATCATTAGCACTCTGAACGCCAAGCGCCCAACACGTGATAGCGCGCTTTGGGTGCATGTTGCGTCATCAGACATCATTGTCGCCTACAGTCATGCACATCCAGTAGATATCCGCACGTAACAGCCACTCCTTGCCACCGTAATGCCAACATATAGCGGCGCATATAGCAGCACTCGCTGATTGAAATGGTGACACCCACCATGAACATCCAAGACTGTCCCATCGACCTACCAAGCATACTATAACTTCACACACCACGGATCGCGCCAACCTGACAGGCGACAGCAGACATGGCAGGCGCTCGCGCGAGATCGCGCCAGACAGCTGAGCCATCGATACCGAGGAGGTCGGCGCGGAGAGGGAACAAGACACGACCCGAGGAAGAGGTGCCAGCTGTGTTCCAGGATATGCTGCGCGAGGAAGAGGCATCCAAGGCTACCAGTGCCCATGAAGATGGCCCACCGCAAAAGAAGAGAAAGACGGCGCCACTGACCACGAGTCCACGTCGCGCTGCTCTCACCACACGGATCTCGCCAGTGCCGCCGCGCGCGCAAGCGCAAGCCACAGCTACAATTCAACCAGTCGCTGAAGAGCCTCAATACACCAGCGGACGGCTGCGACAGACCATCATCGATTCAGACGAGTCGGAAGACAGTGATATGGAGTGGGAAGATGCGCTGGCCGACGGTGACGATAGCGACGACGAAGACGCCCCTGAGGGCCGGGATACTGCACCGCACATTGGGGATATCTCCATTGCCATTGGCGCCAAAAAGACGGACGAGAATGGTGGGAAGAGGAAGGTACGACGGCGAGCCATAACATCCGTCGATAAAAGGCGCCGTCTGGATATTCATAAAATGCACGTCCTCTGTCTGCTTTACCATGTCCACTACAGAAACGCTTGGTGCAACGACAGAAGAGTTCAAAGCACCCTGCGAAAAATTGTTTCCCCAAAAACATTGGCTAGCCTCGTTCCGAATCCCGACCTCACACAATATTCTGCATCCAAGCAATTTATTGACGGGATGAATGATCTCAAAATGATGTGGTCTAAGCGATTCAACATCACCGCCCGGGGCATGCACAAGCCCCGATGGGTCGAGGTTGATGCCGCTATCCGTCCCTTCTCAGACTTTGACGATTTTGATAGCCCTATGGATAAAGATGAATTTCGTACTGCGGCGCACACTTTGCGAGGGTCTCAAGATGTTGGTACGCAGCTGTTTTGCGCCCTTCTCCGTGGGATTGGCATAGAAGCTCGTCTTGTCTGTTCCCTGCAGCCTCTACCTTTCGCTTCTGCCGCTGAGCGTGCAACTCCACAAAAGACAAATGTGCAGAAGAATACCATAGTAGTTGATCCGTATAACAAGCCAGCAGAGCCAAGTCCCACAAAACCCACATCACAGGGACCGCGACATAAGAAATTGTCCAGACTAGAGCGTGTAATGGGCGAACGACATACAGTCCTGAACCATACTGGTGTGGCACCTAAGAAACAAAAGGCATACCACACCCCGTATCCTGTATACTGGGTTGAGGTTTTGAATCCTGCATATCAGAAATGGGTACCAATCGACGTATTCTCTACGTTCACTGTCAACTGCCCCGAGAAGTTGGAACCACCGCTTAGCTTTCCTGACAACATTTTGGCTTATGCAATAGCATTCGAAGACGACTTCTCAGCGAGAGATGTCACGCGGCGGTATGCAAAGGCATTCAATGCCAAGACGCGGAAATATCGTGTCCACAGTACACCTGGAGGGAGCAAGTGGTGGCAACGAACTATGGACTTTTGGAAGCGCAGATATCCGCTTGACAGAGACCAAGTGGAAAATGCTACCTTGCTGCGCAAAGAGGCGTTGGAGGGCCTGCCGAACAATGTTCAGGACTTCAAAGGACATCCCGTCTACGTGCTTGAGCGGCATCTCAAGCACAACGAAGTCATTCACCCTCTGCATCAGGTTGGAAAGGTGAATTGTGGTACTTCCATGAATCCCAAAATTGAGCCCGTATACCGTCGTGTCAATGTACATACGGTCAGAACTGCAGACAAATGGTATCGCATGGGGAGGGATGTGAAAATTGGTGAACAACCCCTTAAGCGCGCGAAACCCAAGAAAGGGCGGAGGAGTTCCATTGATCCAGATATTGAAGGCGATGACGAAGCAGACGAGGTTGGGGCTGGCCTCTTTGCCGAGTTCCAAACCGAACTCTATGTACCACCTCCCGTTGTCCGAGGCCGCGTTCCACGCAATGTCTACGGCAACCTGGATCTGTATGTTCCTTCCATGTGCCCACCAGGGGGTGTGCACATTCGACATAAGCTTGCGTCTAAAGCAGCACGTATCGTTGGCGTCGATTTTGCAGACGCCGTCACTGGATTCTCTTTCAAAGGCCGCCACGGCACTGCAATCGTGCAGGGCGTGGTAGTTGCACAAGAATACGCCGATGCGGTGCAAAGCGTGATTGAGGGGATGGAGTACCAGCAAGAAGAAGCAGAGGCAACAGCGCGCAGAACCGAATCGCTTCGACTGTGGCGACGTTTCTTTCTTGGTCTGCGCATTGCAAAGCGCGTCAACGCTATTGAAATCGACGGCGAGAAAGGCCCAGCTATCGACGTGCAGGATGAGATTAGTAAAGAAGATCGAGAGCTAGCTGCCCAGGAAATGGCAGGTGGATTCTTTCCTGACGACAGCGCGGCTGCCGAACCCTCAGGCAGTGGGTATCAACCACGACACGGAGAGGATGTCGGCGGTGGATTCTTACCAGACAGCAACGACGCTGACTTTGAAGACAGTGGCGGTGGTGGCTTCATGGTAGACGAAGAGAAAAACGTAGCACCCGCCGCCCTCAACCGACACCAAAGCTTCGAAAGTTCCATTCTAGACGCACAACCACTTCTGCCCCCGCGTCCATGTAGTTGTGATGAAGTTTACTCTTCCGACCATGATACCGACAAGAGTGGAGACTGGGAACAATTAGAAGCTGGGCCTTCTACGACTGCCGAAGGTGGTACTGCGAAACCCGCGCAAGTCGACCACCTTGCAGCAAAGGATGCTGTAGTAGTGATTGCCGACGAGCCTCTTCCGAAAGACTCTGTACACCAGGAAAATCAAGAGATTAAAGAAAATACAACGATGTCGGAGTATGCAACCGATGAGTCAAAAAGTACAAAGGATGTTCCAGTAAAGTCGCCCCCAGCGCAAGTTCCTTCGTCGTCACCCTCTGAAACCGGGTCGCTCATGTTGGAAGATCCCGAAGATGAAGATGCAGATCCAGATTGGTTAGTCGACGCCACTTGATATTTCTCTATTTAAATTTAAATAAATTCGATTGAAACAACCCCATTTCCGTACTATATTCTCACCATTCACATACGAAAAAAAATGCATCGTTAAATAATGATATATATTTTTGTTCATCATGATCCCCACTCTCTGCTATTTCAAAAAAAAAATAACTTGAATATTTTGTCTAATTCATAAATGAAATCACTTCCTCTTAAGCATATCCTCCAACCCCCTAATCCCGCCCTCAAACCCGTCAAGATCATACTCCTTGGGATACCTCTCAAGCACATCCTTCAACTCCTCCGCATGCGCCCTCTGCTCCTCCGTCAGACTCTCCCAAACGCCCTCAAACGCATTGCAAATCGAGGGCTTCTTTTCCTTCTCCGCCTCTTCAAATGCGCGTAGGACTTCCTTGCGCATCGCACTCCGTGCCTCCTTTTCTTTATCCTCATCCCATAGCTGGCGGCTCTCGAGCCATTTTCTGAGGCGCGTAATGGGGTTGTCGCGGCGCTTCCAGTCCTCGACTTCGACGCGCTGGCGGTACGCGAAGGAGTCGTCCGAGGTGCTGTGGTGGCCGACGCGGTAGGCCATCATTTCTATCAAGACGGGCTGGCCGCCGTCTTGGAGGGCGAGGCGCCGTGCGTGCGAGGTGGCGCGGCGCACGGCGAAGATGTCGTTGCCGTCGACGCGGAGGGTTGCGATGCCGTAGCCTGCGCCGCGGGAAGCGATGCCGTCGCCCCGGTACTGATCTGAGGTTGGTGTGGAAATGGCGTACCCGTTGTTGCGGCAGATGAAGATGCAGGGGACCTGGCGGGTAGCAGCAATGTTGAGAGCGGCGTGGAAATCGCCTTCACTAGCAGCGCCCTCGCCAAAGTAGCAGACTGCGACTCGGGGCTCGGTGTCCGGGTTTTGGATGTTTTGCATTTTCAGTGCGTAGGCGGCGCCGGCTGCATGTGGGATCTGGGTTGCGAGGGTGGAGCTGATGGTGTGGATATTGAGTTCTTTGCTGCCATAGTGAACGGGCATGTTGCGTCCCAGGCCATTGTCTTTGGAGTTTGCAAAGAGCTGATTCATGAAGGAGGAGAGGGTGAAGCCGCGTTGGAGGTAGACGCCTGATTCGCGGTATTGGCAGAAGATGACGTCCGAGGGGGAGAGGGCGCTGGCGGAGCCGATGGCAATGCCTTCTTCGCCGGCAGAGACCTTGAAATGTCAGTATATAGTTGTATGTATATGGGTGGTAAGAATTACCATGTAGAATGATAATCTACCCTGCCGTTGTGCTTCAAACATGAGTAGGTCCATTATGCTCACTGTGCCGTGTCAGCCGCAGGCCCTAAAGCAAGATATCCATTCCACTGACGCTTAACCATGTTCTTGTACAGTGACAATGCCTCTTCATCCGAAGTCTCGACCCCAACCTCCTTGTTTATTATCTCTCCGTACTGGTCCATGACGCGGTAGGTGGAAATGGCCTTTTCCTTTGACGGATGCATAAACTCCATGGTGTTTGTGAACTCGCTGTTCAAGGCACCGGGGAATAGCACTCTATAATATTTCGTCAGTCTCTTCCATTGCAACATCTCCTACATCTCCTACATCTCCACACTCACCTCTCAGCCGTGGGCGTCGAAGCAACGCCCCGACATGTTGTCTGCCACGGCGAACCCGTCTGCCTGCCAGACGCATTGATAGGACGAGCCTTTGGGCTCAGCAGCCTCTGAAGTTGCAATCTCCGCGAAGTATAGCGGAAAGACATTTTGTGTATGCTACATTATGGGAATATGCGGGGGAAGGTGGTATATCAAGCTGGGGAAGTGCGGGCGGCAAGCGTCGGCGTAAAGTCGACGGTTTGGAATGCGTTACCGCGGCCAAACTCCCACGGCAGCCAACCGCCCATGTCGAACGGTCCAAGCTACGCTTGCGTACAATTGCATTGTGCATTAATTAGCTAGACTAGACTACTCCTTGCGTACCTGTAACCATGTTCGTACTAATGTGTGGATGTGCATCAGACGGGCGCTAGCAAAGAGGGCCACCCACCCCGGCTATGCGCGTGTCATAGCGCATGGGAACGAAAGTCGAGATTGCCAAGGCCGCTGTCTTCTTTTGCTAACAACCATCTACCACCCACAATCCCCCAATTGCCCGAACGATGCAGGCTTCACGGCAGCAGATAGGACGCCAATTGCTCTCCGGGCGGAGGACGCCGGCAGTAGGAGAAGCATACCGCTGCTTTTCCTTCTCAACCAGACAAGCACGACCTCAACACCCATCATCCCCGCCGCCACCACCACCACCACCAAAGTCCCCGCAAGATGCACCGCAAACAACGCACTTTGGCTTTGAAACAATTGCCGAGGCCCTCAAGGAGCAGCGAGGTAAATTCGCCCATTCCCATCCAAATCCCACTCCCAAACTAAAAAAAACCCCGAACAGTCGCCTCTGTCTTCTCCTCGGTCGCCTCCTCCTACGACTCCATGAACGACTTCATGTCCCTCGGCATCCACCGCCTCTGGAAAGACCACTTCGTGCGGAACCTAAACCCAGGCCTCAACCCCCTCACCACTTCTTCCTCGCAGCAAGGAATGAACATCCTCGACATCGCCGGCGGCACCGGCGACATCGCCTTCCGCATGCTCGACCACGCCTCGCACATAAACCACGACGCCCACACGCACGTCACCGTCGCAGACATCAACCCCGCCATGCTTTCCGAAGGCAAAAAGCGCTCCCTGTCAACCCCCTACGCGCGCTCTCCTCGCTTGAAATTTGTAGAAGCCAATGCCGAGGATCTGCACATGGTACCCGATGCCTCTGTCGATTTATACACCGTTGCATTCGGTATCAGGAATTTCACTCACAAAGACGTCGCGCTGAGGGAAGCCTACAGAGTACTCAAACCCGGCGGCGTCTTCGCCTGCCTCGAGTTTAGCAAGGTCCAGAATCCACTGTTTGATGCCGTGTATCAGCGCTGGAGCTTCGGTGCTATTCCCCTCATAGGCCAGCTTGTAGCCGGTGATAGGGATAGCTATCAGTACCTTGTGGAGAGTATTGCGCGTTTCCCGAGTCAGGAAGAATTTAGTGCTATGATTAGGGAGGCGGGGTTTTTGGTACCCGGAAAGGGGTGGGAGGATTTGACAAATGGGATTGCGGCGATACATAAGGGTGTGAAGCCTGTGGGGGAGAAGAAGGTGTAGGATACTTTTGTTCTTTTTTTTTCCTTTAAACTAGTAGATAAGATGGTTGGGATTTGATGGATTATTTTTGTATGATTACGTATCATATTTTATATATAAAAGCAGGATTCTTAATGCCATAGATATCACACTCCAACATACTACAATGACAACATGATGAGTGGAGTAACAACACATTCATTCATTAGCCAGAGGACGATGACAACTTGACCAAGTTATATCAGCTAACCAGCTTATATATATATATATATATATAAATACGCCCCCTCCCTCCCCCAAACCCCAATGTCCCAAGAAAGCAATAACCCGATCCCCTGTCCCCCAAAAAAACGCCCATTCGCCCACCTTTGTTGCATCAAAGCGTGTTGTAATCTACAAAACGACAAACTGTGTGGATTTCAAATCCCATTTCCCCCTAATCCCATATATTTCAGAGAGCTAGATGTCCTTCCCGGGGTAATGCGCGAAAGCCCACCATGATTTGAAAAGAAAAACGCCGGGTCCATCCAGCCCCAGGCCAAGATAGCCATGTAAGTACTCAATCTGAGAAAGAGAAGGAAAGAAAGAAGGAGAAAATAAAATAAAAGAGGTCGGAGAAGTGCAGAAGAAGATTCAAAAGCTATACAAATTTAACCCATCGTATACGAACCCGCTCAAGAAAGGTAATGAAGAAGAGGAGGGAAGAGAAGAAAAGATGAACCCCTCAGGGTTAAAAGCAATTATGACAACGCCCCTCGAAAACAAAAGCAATGTAATAATATAGTCAAGAAGAATCAATCAAGGTACTTTGTTGCAATGTCGCGTCGAGCTTTTCTTTGCTTTTCTTTTATCGGAAATAGGATGCGCGCTTGCCTGCGCTGCCGGTGCTGAGCCTGCCTCTTGCTTCCTCAAGACTACGCCGGGAACCGCCGGCTCCAATCTCGCTCATCTGGAACAGCAATGGTTCGTCGTCATCTACGTTGGCTGCGGCGCGACTGTTGAAGTTGTAGCGACTTTGCCGCTCAGTAGAGCTCGTGCCACCGGTGCTGAGACTTGTCGAAGAGCTGTGTGAGAAGAATCCGGATCGGTCTCGGGGACCAGCCTGGGGGCCGCGCTTGGCAGCAATGTTTGACGTAGAGGCAGGCCGAGGCAAGTCTTCGCGAGAGTCAGTATCAGTATGCTGGTTGTTGCGGTTCGCCAGCATCTCGGTTTGTGCAAACAGCCCGCTGGAGGTGAGACCGGCGCTTGTGAGGCGATGCAGATCATTGGCCCGGTCAACCTCTTCTGACGGCAGACTGGCTGAGCGCACACCAAACACATCCGGTTCATCATCAGGCAAAGTACGGCCCTGTTGAGCTACTGAACTTGACCTGCGGGTGTAATGCCAGGGGCGTGGCGAGGTGGGGATGGCAATACCGTTGCCATTTTGGTCCTCGTTCTCGCTTTGCTCTTCCACATGAACTGGATCGTGGTCGTGTGACCCCCTGTTAGGTCGACTCCGGCTTCGTGCAGGCTGATCGTATTCAATAATGCTATTGGCGCTCAGGCGAGATGGGATGGCTGGCGTATGAGGAGTATGAGGCGAAATCGGTTTGCCAGGTGATGATGCTGTCGAGACCGAAGTGCCGGCAATCATTGCAGGCACGCTAGACAGATGGCGGCTTGAAGAGGATGATGAGCGATGAAGCATGGTTGAGGAAGAAACTGACTCGGCCAGGCCTGTGTGAGACTCTCTCATGCGCTGATACTTGGATAACTGAGCAGTCGTCTTGTGCATAGTGGCTGCCTTGGCGGCATGGTCGCTGCGAGTAAAGCTCTTGAGGTCCTTTTTTGATTCCAAAAGTTTGAGAAAGTCGGAAATGTTCTCGTCGTCTGTCCTGACCTCTCCTGAGCTGCCACCGGCGCCCTCGTTCAGGGTATCGGAACCACGTTGTACTGATGATGACGGACTGGCCTTTCCACTGCTGAGGTTGTCGTCTTCGAGCTTGCTACCACCACCAGAGGAAAACTTGCTCCTCCTGTGACCAAAGCTGCTACTATAGCGACTGATGGGTGCAGGTTTTGGTGAGCTAGATGCGGATGAGGTTATGGCGGCCTCGTTGGGCAACGAAGGCGCTCGGAGAGCAGCCTGTGGAAGGGCATTTAGCGAGGTGCGGTTGCGTGGTTGATGGAGTGGACTAGGGGTGATGTTTCGGCCTAATGAGCTGCCTGGCCGTCCCAAGGAGCTGGTGGGCGAACCAGGAATTCCACCTCCGGGTGCTGGCGACGACGAGAGCGAGCCTGCTTTGAATGGCTGGAAAGAGACGGATGTTCGTCGCTGATGTAGTGGTGTATCCACCGAGCGTAGGGAGGACTTGGAGCCTTGGGCAGTGCGGTGGTTTGGTGGCAGTTTCTGGGGTGGTGACTCTGTTGGTGACGACGACGGCATATCTCGAACTGCACGGAGGGCTGAGATTGGGCTGGTGCCAGTGGGTGGGCCAACTTGGTGAAATGTCGAAAGGCTGCCGTATGCTTGACCAATGTCGGGCGTCTCTTGGGCATTCATTTTATCCACGGGGAGCGAGCCAGGCATCTGACGGGCCTTTTGCTCAAAGTAAGTGTCATCCAAGCCCATGAACTGTGAGCTCAAAAGGGATTCCGAGTTTTCTACTGTAAACTCGCAGTTGGCGCGATATTCCACCGTTACAAACAAAGGGCCGACGGGCGAATTTGTAGGCTCAATGTTTTGGACTTCTGTAATTTCATCTGGGTTTTGGTTTGGGTAGAGAGGCAGTCGCAGGGTATCGACATGCGGGCTCCGGAAGTCTCCATTGGATATGCGGTAGTTGAGCTTCAAAGAGGGAGCAGTGGCGGGCTGTTTGGCGAGAAGCTTGTTGTATCTGAATGCTGGCATGAAGCGAAGGGAGGCAAAGAGCGATCGGAAAGTGACAACGGCTTTTTTGTAGACGTTGGGGAGCGGGTCATTGAGTTCTGACGGCTGTACCGAACTCTTATCTCCGACGTGCACTCTCCAGCGCTCGAGCACCACCTGCGTAGGCTTGGCAGCACGACTTGAATATCCAGCAGCGGCGTCAGCAGAGTTGAGCGCAGTGGCAACATCCCATTTCTTCCCATCGTCGTCCTGAATGGCGAGGGACTGTGTGTGTCCGAGAGATTGTATGTCTAGGTAGATGTCGATGCAGAGAGACGGGTGTTGGCCGGCCATGGCGTCCATGACTTTCCAGTCGGTCAACTGGCGCTGGAGGGCGTCGCTGTCGGGGAGAACAACATTGAACTGGGAGGGTGTTAGTGCATGGAGCGAGTGGTGGGGAGAGAGAGAGAGAGAGAGAGAGAGAGAGTGGCGTAGCATACCCATTTGTTCTGCTTCAGATTGCCATCCTTGTTGTACCCTGGGGGTAGGACTACTCGCGAGGATATGACGGCAAGAGCTGCCTTTGTGAAGAAGTTCTGAGTAAGAAAAGAGAGTCAGCATAGGTACAAAGGTGGGAGGCGTAGGGGCAAGGCTAGGTACCTGGATTACTTGGTTGACCTTGTGGTAGTGCTTCTGGTCAGAGTGGGCAGCGTGGTCTCCTCCTCGCGACATCATTTCGCCCTCGGACTCGTCGGCGGCTCGGTCAGAGTAGGGAGGGGTTGTTGAGTAGTTGGGCATGTCCATGGAGGTATGCCGCTGGTTGTTTGTTCGCGTGGGGTTGGTCTGGAGGTTGTTGGCGGGTGAGGCTGTCCTGGGCGAGGGGCGCGAGTAGGGATTCATGGCGGCAGCCTCGTGCAGGTACCGGAGAGCAGAGAGAGGACTTGAGGCGACGAGGCTGACGGTCGGGGTGCAGGTAGGTTAGGTAGGACGGTTATCGTTGGGGCGGAAACAGGCGAGCATGGATGCGCGTAGCCATCACGAGTTCAGGCAGTGTCAGGTTGGCGCCGGGACAGTCAGAAGTGTCTCTCAGGAGACTGGAGCACGCGGGGTACTTGTGGGCGCAGGCAGGAAAGCAGGCAGACAGGCAGACGAGCGGGTGGCTCAGGCAGCAGCCATGATGTAGAGCGACAAGAGTGGGCGAGCGAGGGTTGTTGGGGTGTGTGTGTGTGTGTGCTGGCTCGGGCGAACTTGGAGCTGAGCACCTGGTTGGGACAGGCGAAGGGCGGCGATGCGATGCGCTGCGATGCACCACCACGACACGGCCAAGGTGCGGGTGCGAGAGCGAGAGAGCAGCAGCAGCAGCAGCAGCAGCAGGCAGGTGACGGCGATGATGCTTAGTAGGCGGGGAGGGGGGAGGGTTTTTTGGTCAGTGGTCAGGGCAGCTTGGGGAGTCACGCGGCGAGGGTGGAATGAGGAGCGAAGGCGAGAAAGAGAGTAAGTAGAGCTAAGCTAAGCTCGAGAGCAGCGATAAAGCTATCGGAAGCTGCAGGAAGGGAAGTGTGCAGGCAACGAATGCAACGGATGAGTCGAATCGAAAGAGTCAAAGGGCTGCTGTCAAATGCAAATGAGGAGCTGAGGATGAACAAGCTTGGCCCCGGTCTGGGGTAATTCGGCATGGTCCTTCTGCTGGCTCTGGCTCTGTTGCTGCTGTTTGTGCTGTCTCTCTGCTCTGTTCTGGGTGTGGGTGAGGTGCTCGAGGGCGCTAGTGACGCTCACGTACAGCTTGCTGCATGGGTCCGAATCGGGATGCAGCTGATCGCGCGTCATCTTACCGGCCTGCGACGAGTGCGAGTGCGCACATGTACATAGATACATACGTATGTACTGCGCCCATCTAGTTAGCCCTCGCTATCTATCTTCCTCCATGTTCACCTCCTTATCAAACCCTCCATCATCATCATCATCACATGGTCTCGTATCTCGCCCATGCCCGGTGGTCCCCCGCCAACGGCACACCACCTCAGCACGCCATCTTCCACCATCTACACATCGTCTCTAGTCATGCAGCTGCGTGTGCCGCCTCACGATCTGACCGGTCGCACAAGATGGCCGGCTTGTCTGGGCCTAATCTGTATACACCCGTCGTCGGTCAGTTGCGGCGAGGCACCAGCGACAAGTGACGAGTCGCTCGCTGCCAGCAGTCGAGTGCATATGCGCGGCGAGCCATCGCATCCATCCATCCATGTCTCCATCCCTCTGTCCTTCCATCTCGTCATCCACTCACACTGCCGGTTGCTTTTGCTATCGATACGCGGCTTGGCGCCTCACTCAACAACCACCACCTCGTCCATCCTTCCCCTCCCCCTGCCCATGCATCCCACACCCAAGGAACCCACGGCGTTGAGCACCCACATGTTTCGCCATCCACACGGCCAGCCTCGCGTTGCCTCATCCATTGCTTCTGTGTCGTGAACCCCTGGCTGGTCGGCACCACCCAAAGTCTGTCCTAGCTTACCACAGTACCTCACAGCACCCTGGCCAAGTTCACCCTGCCAACTGCTTCTAGCTCCCTTCCGCACACTGCCCCGAACCCTACTACAACCAAGCCGCCGCACGTAGCTGCTTCACCGCCTGCCACTGTGGAGCAAAGCGTGCGCTGTATATATTCTTCGTGTCGTCACCCTCCCATGCCTGCCTGTCTTTCTGCTGCTGCTGCTGCTACTGTTGCTGCTGTCCCCTCAAGCTCACCCTCCCCCTCCCCTGTCGCCATGTCTGTTACCCGAGGTCGGAGGGTCTGGTGACGCCAAAGCCATTGCCGCATACACCGTAATCGCTCTTTGCGGTCGACGCTCCATGCAACGTCGACCTCCGAGAGCAGCTTGTGGAGGAGAGGCCATCTCCTATTGGTCAGTCATTGGTGACCTGCCGTAGAGACATGCCCGCAGCCCGCCCGCCATGCGCTTCACAACCACAGTGTCTTTGCGACTTGCTTCTATAACTCATCTTCTTCGTCTCCATCCTCCAACTAACTAGCCCAACCATTCGCAAAGTAGAGAGTGCTCCCCTCTGACTCATTCATCTTCGACGTTCGCGCCATTTCGACTCATCATCCCCCTCGCTATCGCCTCGGTAGTTTCGTCATCGATACCATCGCTCTAACACCATCCTATCTTCCCACACCCAATTCCCACCCCGCCACCCGCGCCCTGCCCTTTGCCCCCCAACGTATTCGCGTCCGCCTAGCAATACTATCGCACCGTTGAACATATTCGGTGCTCCTCCGCTACCCGTCTACTACAGATACTAAACAGAAATCACCAATCCCCTCGCAACGAATTGCCACCTTACCCCTTCCCTCCGTGCGCCCACCAACCACCACCACCACCACCGCCCCTTCCCTACACCCCACGCACTCCACGCCTCCGAACCTTCCACGAAAATTAGACTTGGTCGCATACATTGAACCAAGTAGTTGCCTTGGGCATCCCCCTCTCCCCGAGTCGTCCACAGCTTTACAGCGAGTACCTTTAAATACGCTTTGACCCAACGAGGTTGAGGCCAGGTGCTACTCGTAAAAGCTTCGGATTACTCCTTTCTCCAACCAGCACATGAGCGGCTATCTCTGGAAATACTTTCTCGAAGATGATGTCGACAGCTTTCGGCATGTCCTCGCAACTCCCACGCATACCAACCGGCCGGCAGCACAGAAAAGCTTGAGTGCCTGGCAGTCGGGCGCATCTCCCGCACCTATAAATGGCAGTCCGGGTAGCTACAATGCTTCTCCCATGTCAGCTGCAAAGGCTCGGAGAACGGGCATGGGCGTAGCCGCCAGCTTGAGTCGCTTTGACATCAACAGTCGCGATGCCGCAGGAATGACTATACTGCATCATGCCGCCTCATCCATGGTCGACACTGCCGTCGATTTTGCACAAGCACTGCTAGAGCACCCATGGACAGACTTGTATATTCAAGACGCTGAAAACGGCTGGACCGCCCTCCATAGAGCCTTTTACTTTGGCAACATTGCCATTGCACGCCTCATCTTGAACAGAGATGCGCAAGATATTCTAGGCCAGGGCTCGAGCGGATTCAACCAGCATGCTCGCGGACTTGTCAAGATCAAGGACAAGGAGGGATATGGTCCCCTAGACTTGTTCTCCATGACCATCAAAGACCGGACTTTACGTCCGGAAGAGTGTCCTATCCTCGATTCAGATTCTGATGATGAATTGGCTCACGGAGACAGCGGTGACGTGGATGACGAAATGCGCAAGAAGCTGATTGCTCCGCCCGTATCGCTTGATGGCGATGAAGTGTACACGTTTGGCAGCAACAAAAATGTAACCCTTGGTTTCGGAGACGAAGATGACCGGCAATTCCCAGAACGCATCACTTTGCGTAGACCAGACCACCTTCTGCAACGCTTCTACAAGGAGCACCTTGACCGGCAAAACCAACATTTTGCAGCCTTAGGGATTCCAACTCAGGATTCAAGCTCCCAACCGCGCAGCACAATAGATCTGCCGATACACATTCGAAACACCCCAATAGTCATCCAAGATGTCCGAATGTCCAAGTTGCACACCGCGGTACTAACAGCAGATCCCGTTTCTAATTTGTACATGTGTGGCCATGGCCCAGGTGGTCGCTTGGGCACGGGCAACGAAACCACGAGGTATCAATTTACCTGTATCGAAACTGGTGGGTTGGGGCAGAAGCATGTTGCCGCCATTGCTCTCGGGCAAAACCATACTTTAGCAATTACAGAAGAAGGCGAGGTCTTCTCATGGGGTAACAATGCTTACGGACAACTTGGTTATGCATTGCCCAAGCCAGCCGTGAAAGATGATGACCCAATCTCCACCGTACCACGACAGATATTTGGACCGCTCAAGCGCGAAATCGTCACAGGCATCGCCGCATCGCGCATACATTCAGTTGTACACACAGCCACCTCCCTGTATACATTTGGCAAAAATGAAGGCCAGCTAGGAATTGTCGACTCAGACGCTCGATCTTTAGGAATGCAAGTCATCCCTCGGAAGATTGCCGCCGCCCTCTTCTCCAGTCCCATTCATTCAGTATCGGCCATTGACGGTGCAACAATCTGTCTCTTGGAGAATCGCGAAGTTTGGGTTTTTGCAAACTATGGCTACGCAAAAGTCAGTTTCCCTTTGGACGGATTCACGAGCAACTTCCTCAAAGAAAGTTGGTTAACCACAAAGTATGACACTGCACCCAACAAAATCAGCAAGATCACCTCAGGAGGAGACACCATATGTGCACTCTCCACTTCAGGCGAAGTCTTTACTGTCGCTGTCAGCCGACGCTCAGAATCCTCGCAAGACTCCAGTACCTCTACAACAAATCCTAAACAGATCAGGGGAGCCCTCTCTGCGCCGTTCCGTATCTGGTCGTCTAAGAAGAGTCACATGGCAGCAAGGGATGTGGATGTTGACCAGGACGGATCCATCATATTGACAACCGAAGTTGGCAGTGTCTGGAGACGCACAAAGAGAGCGACCATCAAAAACGCAGCAGTCACGGCTGCTGTCGAAAGCAAACCAAAAGACTACAAGTTTCAGCGGGTTTCAGGTCTCACTCGAGTTATTGCTGTCCGGGCTTCTGCTTTTGGCGCATACGCCGCGATACGCAAGGATTGTGATGTTACCCGGACACAGATAGGTGTCGATGAAGCCAGCTTGTGGGAGAATTTCTCTCCATTACTGGCTTTCCACGAGTTGACAAACTACGAAGAGACGTCGGATGATGAGGAGCCTACACCCAGATTTTGGACTAGGGGCGCAGATGCACAAGGCCTTCGCAAGCGAGTTCTCAGGTCTAAAGATTTGGAAACTGAGACAACAGAGGTTGTACAACGTTCGCTGGCATCATCCGACCGCTCCTATAACATGGAGATTGGATCTACTCTGTCTGACGTCCGCATCCCTGTGCATGAGTTTATACTGGCTGGACGCAGTCGCGTCTTGCGCGACGCTCTACTCGACTTTCGTGTCAAAGGCTCTGAATACACCATTCCGGACTCGTTGACCATAAAAGAGGAGAATAAAAAGCTCGTCTTGATATTCCAAGGCATCGACTTCTTGACCGTTTTCAACTTGGTCCTGTATGCCTACACTGACTCAGTTGTCGATTTCTGGAACGTCACTCGGCACTATCCTACCATGGCACACAGATATCGCGCTGTGCGGACTGAATTGATGAAGATTGCTCTACGTCTGGAAATGCGGCAGCTCGAACCTGCTGTCCGACAGATGATATATCCGCGAAAGTCTTTGCACGTGGATATGGAGTTGGCTATCAAAGACCAATCCTTCTTCCAAAGTGGCGATGTCATTGTCGATCTTGCAGACGGTGAAATGTTACTGCATTCGGATGTCATTTGCCAGCGCTGTCCCTTTTTCGAGGGCCTGTTCAGAGGACGTGCTGGTGGTCAATGGCTTGCAGGACGACAAAATGACGAGTCTTCTCTGATCCACATCGATTTGACTCACGTCGAGACGCGTCTCTTTGAGCTTGTGGTGCACCACTTGTACACAGACGCTGGCGAAGAGATTTTCGCGGATGTTACAAGCGAAGACCTCAACGATTTGCTGGCCCTCGATGAACTACTCGACCATGTCATGGACGTCATGTCTGTTGCCAATGAGCTGATGTTAGACCGTCTCTCGCAGATCTGCCAGAGATTGATTGGTCGTTATGGTATGTTGATACAGTATTATTCTTGCGCATCATCGCTAACCTAGTTACAGTCAACGCTCGTAATGTTTGTTCCCTTCTCACAGCAGTCGCACCCAGCTCGGTGGCAGAGTTCAAAGATGCCGCTCTCGAATATGTGTGCCTCAGTCTAGAAGCAGTGATGCAAAATGGTTCTCTGGACGAACTGGACGAGGACTTGCTGCTAGAGCTCAACCAGGTCGCTCACGAGAACCAGCTTGCCTATCTACCATTTGCACGAAGTGGACGGGCTGAGACTCTGTTGTTTGATCGGTACCCGGAGCTTGCCGAAAGGATTGAGCGAGGGAAACGCGCCAAGATTGATGCAATAGTGCTGTCGAACAAATATGCGGAGAGCGAGAATATGTCGAGCTCTTTCAGAGCACAGAGTCTAGAAGAGGTAGCGGCCTCACCTCTCCGCCAGCGTAACAAAAGGCGGGTG